TGGAAGCATTTTTGCACAAACATCCATCTCTTTTTAGCCAGTCAATTTGGCCCAATAGCTAAGGCAAGTGACTCTTAATCATGAGGTTTTTGAATTGAATCCCAACGTTTTGTTTTTAAGGCTTATTTCGTATTTATTTTTTGCCTTTTTTGCTCTTGTGTATTCGAAGTGTATACAATGAATTGAAACTTTGATGATACAAAAACCTGATCCCATTCCTGTTTTCTGTGATCAGAATCTCTTCTCCGCCGATATGTTGCTTTTTGTTATTGTTTCCGTCTGAATTGATGGTGTTTTGAATTGACTTTTCATTTCACCTTTTTTAGCTTGAGTTTTCATTTATGTCGAGCAGATTAACGCTAATAGTGGTATTAACTTTTTTTTATATAAAATCTTAGTCACTCTACTTTTTCATAAGCTACCGAGATTTTCGACTGCTCGTATCAGAGCGAAGCCTTGAATGTGCTGACTGTCTTTTAAGGTCTATGGAGCAGTAATATCATGAAAAAATTAAATGCAATAAAATAAAATGAAAAATAAAAAATTATAATTTGATATTTTTTGTGAAAATCATCACTCCACACGCCATATAAAGTAGGTGATAGATTTCGCTACTATTAACAAATCAATTACGGCATATTAGCTTCCTTGAACCAATTTGGAACGATTTTTAAGACGGATTAAATATCCGCTTACGCGTTAATAGCGCGAAATGTATCGCGCGATAATTGTCCCGAGTTGGCCTAAATGGCAATCTTCAAGCCCCCATAATTTTACGAAAAAAGATCACAGGTGAAATATCATTTCAAATTTAAGCTAAGGACAACACTAGCTGTCGAATGATATAAAAAACTCCGTCAAAAAGGCTAGATAGAAATTATGAATCGCTGAAACATTTTGGTGTATGGCAGTGCTGATTCATTTTACTCAAATTTAAAGTTAAACAAGATTGCTCGTATCAGGGCGAAACCCTAAATGTTCCGACTGCCTTTTAAGCTCTGAAGTAGGGAGCAGTAATAACATGAAAAAATTGATTGTAATAAAAAAAATGCATTTTCTTAAATTTGAGATTTTTTTTCGTGAAAATCATCACCCCACACGCTATATAAGGTACAAAATGGTAGATTCGTTCCTATTAACAAATGAATTATGGCATATAATTTTTCTTGAAACAATTTGGAACGGTTTCGAATTAAATCTCCGCTCATGCTTTTGTAGCGCGAAATATATCGCGCGTTAATTATCCCAAATTGGTCGAAATGGCAGTCATTAAACCCCCATAACTTTTAAAAAATGATCACAGGTGAAATATCTTTTCAAATTTAAGCTCAGGACAACAATACTTTTTTTTGATGATATAAAAAAATTCCGTCAAAAATGGCTAGTTAATGGCTCAAAAATGGCTTGTACGAAAAATGATCACAGGTGAAATATCTTTTCAAATTTAGGCTCAGGACAACAATAGTTTTTGAATGATGTAAAAAAATCCTGTCAAAAATGGCCCATTAAAAAGTCGAAATTTGTCTGAAGAAAAAAACCACCCCGAGCACAAATAATCCGTTACCTTCGTTACGAAAGTCGGAACAAAAACGCTGTAAAAATTAAAAAGATATATTTGATTGGAACTTTGGTAATTGGAATACTTGAAGTATGTTCCGGTTAAGAAAAATGAAAATAACGCTAGCAAATTTTTGTTATATTGATATTCGAAACTTAATTTTTTTCTCGTTGCGAAAGTTGAATGTCGCAGAACTCTATAGAATAACAAAATGGCGAAATTTTTAATTTAAAAGTTTTTGTTTGCGTACATTAACATATAAAAAAAAACATATACAAACAAAAACAAATTGCTTCGACGCGACCTTTAAATGAAATTTGCTTGACTACTCGATTTTTAAACTTATTTTTCTAAAGCATTTAAAATCAATATCTGATAGTTTTGCAAATTATTTTGAACTGAATTGAAGTAGAGAGACTGTACCATAGGTGAAACCCGGGGGTTAGTTAAGTGAATTGGTTTTTTTTTAAAAGAGTTTTGAAATGTCGACTGCAGCTTAAAATAGATGAAATTTTGAATAATATGTTATAAAATTTCTTTGTGGTGTCTATATGTTGGTTAAAAAACACGTCATTGTCTTGACAGAGAAACTTTTCTCTGCCTGCAGATAATGCATTCTTCTCTTTTTTTTTCTTTTTGATTCAGTGGAACAAAATGTCAAGACGCGAGTTTTTTCCGGAGTCAGCTAGCACCAAATTGCCACTAATGTTAAGGACTATCAACGAATGGCTTTTTAATTGCCCTAAGCTGTATTTTAAGCAAATTTTACAAAGCGAATTCGGCTTTTATCCATACTTACACAAGCAAAGCTTGTGTTATAGAATGAACTCTCTTTTTTTCCTGGCTAAGTCACAAATATTTTTGCGACGAGAATATTGTTGCTGCAAAATGTGTTCATTTTGATCAATAAACAGCTATTAAGTACAGCCAATGCTAAGGATATTAACACCGACTTGGCGTTCGTCACTGAAGAAGTTTTGTAGAATCAAATTTTTACTCATTCAGTTTTCCCAGTAGCGTTATCGGTCATATTTTTTCTTATGTATGCGAACAGCAACTTCGCCTCTGTGTGAATTTTTTTATGGAAAATATATTTAAAGTAACGTTATTTCGACTAGAAAGTTGTATTTAAAGCGAGGATTTCAGCATGAAATTTTACGGCTCTATGGGTTTCGGCCTTAATTATTTTGTTACTCAAAAGATGGTTTTGGTGTAGTTTGTAGGCCTTTGCTTTAGTAGAGTGTCGGTTGGAGGATAACATGTCAAAGTTACCAGACAAATTTTCCAATTATAAAAATGACCCAAGCACCAATTGACTAATGGCAATCGACATCTTCTATATTGTAATGAACAATGAGCAATCTTTCAATTTAGATATCGTCCGCCCGATGAGAATGTGTTTAGATTTATGGACAAAAAAACCAACGAAAAGTTTTTTTTTCAGTTTTTGTTACGCTGTTTTTTGCGAAATGTTTTCATCTCTTCGTGTTTGTCTGATTTTTCTAGTACTTTATTGTACCGATTCTTTTGTTTCTCCAGACAGCCATTTGACTAACTTTTTAACTAGCCATTTTAACAGAAAATTTTTAACTAGCTTTCTAATTAGGCATTCTGACTGTTTTTATGTAATCTAATTAGTATTGACATTCTACTCCCAGATTTAAAAAATCCTTCTTGTGATCATTTTTAGTGAAATTGTGGGTGCTTGTATTTGGGTCTTTGACAAAAAAACCGACATAGGGTTATTAAATTGTGAGAAATTTTTTGTCATTTTAAAGCGTAAGCGACAAAAGAAATTATTGTTCCGACTTTCATAACGAAAGTTACGGAATACTTGTGCTCGGGTGGTCTTTTTCTTCAGACAAATTTCGACTTTTTAATGGGCCGTTTTTGACAGGATTTTATATATCATTCAAAAACTATTGTTGTCCTGAGCCTAAATTTGAAAAGATATTTCACCTGTGATCATTTTTCGTAAAGTTATGGGGGTTTAAAGATTGCCATTTTGGGAAAATTGAAGCGCGATATATTTCGCGCTATTAACGCGTAAGCGGAGATTTAGTCCGTCCTAGAAATTGTTTCAAATTGGTTGAAGGAAGCTTATTTGCCATAATTCATTTGTCACTAGGAGTGAAATCTATCATTTTGTTCTTAATATGGCGTGAGGGGGATGATTTTTACAAAAAATCTCAAATTTCAATTAAAATTTTTCTGATTTTATTGCGTTTAATGATTTCATGTAACTACTGCTCCATAGTTTTTAAAAGACAGTGGAACATTCGGCAGATACGAGCAGTCTTGTTGTTCTGACTTTCGCAACGAAAGTAACGGAAAATTTGTGCTCGGGTGGGTATTTTTCTTTCGATAAATTTCGACTTTTTAAATAGCCATTTTTGACGGATTTTTTTTATATCATTCAAAAGGTATTGTTTTTTTTTTTAGCTTAAATTTGAAAAGATATTTCACCTGTGATCATCTTTTGTATTGTTATGGGGGTAGCGTAGATTGCGATTTCGGCCAATTTGGGACAATTAACGCTCGATATATTTCACGCTATTAACGCGTACGCGGAGATTTCATCTGTCTCAGAAATCGTTACTAGGGGCGAAATCTATCACTGTTTACTTTAGATGGCGTGTGAGGGGATGATTTTCTTTAAAGAAACTCAAATAAAAAAAATATTTTCGATTCAATTTTTTACTTATAATTTTTTCTTGTTATCAGTGCTCAAAAGACCTTGAAAGGCAGTCGTAATATTCAGGGCTTCGCCTTGATGCGAGCTGTCTTGTTCCATTAGGAATTAAGGCAAGCAATTTTACTTCTCAGTACGTTCCCAGACGCAAAATATGGGAGAGTAAAATAAAGAAATAGCCTGAACATCAATTCGAAGTTTCATTTTCGGAACATGTCCTTAGACCACCTTTATATTTACGATGTAACTATAACTTTTTAACATGCATGTTAGGCTCGTTCTGGGTCCCGTTTATGTAACGATGTAAAAACTTAATTACCAGTTTTATTTTCAAACCCAACCAAGTGGTGTGTTTAGTGGAACATCAATACACTCTCATAGTTCGTTCAAAGTTCAAATTCATGACATTTGTCCCAACTGTCGCTATACACGTATCGCTTTGCCCTGATAGGAGTAATTCTGTTGTACATATGTCAGTTTTAGCCTATATTTGAGACTGAATCTAGATCTACCCCTTTGTTTCGATCTACCCCCTAAAAGATGTCGGAAGAAACGAGGCGTAGGATTTGTTTGTTTTCTCCCAAGTATAGTGTTCTCAAAAAAACTGAAGGAATCAATTGTGGTATCTTATTAAAGCACTTTCAACAGTTGTTCGTGATGAGCTGTACATCTCGTATGTTTGTCCTTTCCTTGTTGGATGAATGGTCTTAACTACACTTAATATTTTTCAGCCAATCAGATTTGTTTCAGGAAATTTGGACTGGACCGCCTGATGCAAACTGGAGCTTTTATTTCAACTTCCGAAAGTCTCATTCTACAATTATGTAAAGACGCAAAGCATCCTGCTTTCCGATCGCTTCAGAAGTTGATTTTGAACCCGACTTTGGACACTGCACTGTTGAGTAACATTGAAGACATGAGAGTCAAGAAAGATTGAAATATCTAGATTCTTCTAGAATATTCCCATAATGCCTTACGATGTTTCTAGTTTTATCCTGAAATTTGTTCTGGTATTGATGAGGATCATTAATTTTTTTAATGAGTTTAATGTGCCTTAAATTTGATGGTAATCCAGAATTTTGATTTTGAAACAAGATGGGGCTATTTTGATGTTTTGTTGTATTTTTCTACTATTTTCATGCTATTTCTTTTATTGGAAAGATTTAGAAGATTTAAAGAAACATGAATTTAAAATCTAGAAGTAATATTTGTTTTGAAGGGATTTGCAGTAAGTTTTACAATAACCGCTCAGAAAATTGTACAGAAATTTTTAAGTCACCAATTTTATCACACACAAAAAATACTCAAATAGTTTACAACTGAAACGCTTTGAGTTTACAACTAAAATGCGTTACGATTTTATTGAAATTATTTGGGTTACGTAATCTTAAGAGTTAAGCTAATTTCGTAGCAAAATTTTGCAGCTTAGTTTTTGTATAATTTATTTTTGGGTGATTTTGAATACAGCAAGCACATTTTGAAATTTTCCCATAAGGTATCCATTATTGTATGTAAATATTATAGGGTTGATTACAAAATTCATAAGATAAACGACTTCAGTAATGCTGTATATATTGAGAATTAGATCGACGGGAATTGAAGTGAAATAGTTTATAAGTTGGATGCTAGTTTGCGGAATTATTATAACTATGAAACACAAACAGACTAGAAACAACGAAAATGTTATTTTGTGTTTTTGGTTCTGGAAGGTTTTTTTCCTAGCTTGTCGTTTGGCCGCCTGATTGGCTAGTTTCGCTTTCTCTGTTCTGATTGGTCGAAATGAAGGACCACTCCGTCTCATCGAGATTGTCAGGTGGTTTTTGTCCTCTGAGTCGGCCGAGCTGTCCTTTCTAAAAAAAAAACTAATTTTTCAAACTAACCAAATTTCAAATTAAAAGTAATAGATGATTTGCGTTTAATGTGCGATTTGCAATTTTGTTCCAATAGATGCTGTAAAAACTTTTAAATCTTGATGTGCAAAACCAGGAAAAAAAAGACTTTTGAGCACTTTAATTGACCTTTTAAGGACAAAATTTAAATTTTTTTGTTAATTGTGTGAGCTACCATGAGTTTGTTAAGTCGTCCCGTATCTGCGATTGTTGCAAGCCTCAGCATCCAAATAAATTAGTTTTTTTTTCTTCTATTATTTCCGCTTAAATGAGCATGTAATCAAAGAAATCGTTCTTCTTCCATGCAATTGGATCTCATCAAAATGAAATTAGATTTTTCCGATTCAATTAAATCTTCAAGACCTAATTTAATCTCAATTTAATTATGCCCCCAAATCGGTCATTTTAAACTTGAGTGAAACACGAGGAAACTTTCTAAGACTCGAATTAGACTAAGCTTAATTAGAGACTCGATTAATCAGCAAAGTTAAGTCTCCCTTGCTGACCTTAATAGAATAATTAAAAGTTTTTTTTGCCCTAATTCGGAAGTGTGCATTGAAGAAAAGAGAAATTAACTTGCTCGACTCTGATTGGTTAAAATAATAGCGATACTAACTCAATTTTTTATGACAACTTTGTCACTAATTTTTTCAGCAAATCATTCGATTTTAATTGACCATGGCATTACAAACAGGTTTTTAATACGAGCTTTAATTCAAGAAATGAGGGAAATGAGATGATTGCATTAGCCATGCATTCAGGTATAATAATGCAAGGGTGCCAAGTTCACCTTATCAAAATGATCTGAATAATTTGAACTCACTGAGTTATGGTCATCTTCTGTGAATCAGTCTCGTGTTTCACTCCCCTCTCGTCCACCCTGGACCCCCTGGGGGAGCAGCCTCCGAAACTGATCGCGTCCACATCTATGTCCATGTCATAGTCAGGGTCAAGGTCATTATCAGGGTCTGCATCTAGTCCGAAGTGACTGGGCCCAATTGAGATGCCGTCGTGCTCTTCCTCTGCTGCTTGAATTTGATCGACAACTTTGACCTGAAAATGACCAAAAACATAACAAGACTGCTCGTATCAGGAGCAGTCTTGTTATGTTTTGTGATATTTTGAGATAAAAAATTGAGATATTTTGTGAAAATCATCCCCCCACACGCCATATAAAGTACAAAGTAATAAATTTCGCTTCTAGCAACACATCAATTATGGCAAATAAGCTTCATTCAACCAATTTGGAACGATTTCTAAGACGGATTAAATCTCCGCTTACCGTTAATAGCGCGAAATATTTCGCGCGTTAATTGTCCCAAATTGGCCAAAATGCCAAACTTTAAACCCCCATAACTTTGCGAAAAATGATCACAGGTAAAATATCTTTTTCAAATTTAAGCTCAGGACAACAATGACTTTTGAATAGTATAAAAAATGCCGTCAAAAATGGCTAGTTATAAAGCCGAAATTTGTCTGAAGAAAAAAAACCCACCCGAGCACAAATATTCCGTTAATTTCGTATCGAAAGTCGGAACAATAATCATAATAATAATTATAAGAGTAATGAAGCTTTAGTATATTAAGTTTTGTGTGGGAGATCACCATTGGATTTGTAACATATAGATTTAAATTGTGACAATTTGGGAATTTTTCTACGTAGCTTTTAATCTGAGTCACATCAGCAGTTTTTCGGGTGTAAGGATGATAGTTGGGTCTCTAAAATTAAGCCGAGTCCCGATGAAAATGGTTAGTTCTTGAAAACTTCAAAAACCTTGGTTCTCATTTGTTTACTTGCGTTTTTGAAGTTGTCAAAAAAGTTACGTGACCCATTTTTTTTTACATTTGCTTTTTCCTGAGACCTAACTAACATACTTGTACCGTTTTCCGTTATGAGCTGAAATGCTCGTATGTGTAGGTATTTCCCCTTGAAAACAAACGATCCGTATCTAACCTTAGTTGAAAAGTAGAGGGAAATTAGCAGGAAAGTTATTAAGCTTTGAAATTGGGTAGAATCAAATTTCACCTCTACAAAAATTGGTTTCCATCTCCGGCACTATTGTCTCGTCTAACAACCTTGTACCGAATAACTACTATGATAGAATGGTCCCGCGAGAAAGCAACTAGGATATAAAGGTCCCGCATGCTTTTCGCATGTAATAATTTGAAATCTAATTTGTGTATAAATTATTCATATCAAAATTCTCGCGAAGTTTTTTGAGTCAGATACTTCTCAGATTAAAATTTAAGGTGTCCGTATTGTTTATATCAAGAAATTTGTTCGCCTCAAGTTTTTTTTTACGATTTAACAAACAGGCCCCGATTATTTACGATTTAACGAAGTTTTTGTTTTTTTTTCGATTTGAAAAACGGGGTTACCTTATTGACAGGCCCCGGGTTTTCGCTAAGTAATAAACAAACGTTTTAGTTCACTAAATGGTTCCTTAAAAACCATCGAAATAGTTGAATAAAAGCTAATTCAAACTCCCGTTTTTTCAAAAATAACAGCAAAAAAAAACAATCATTTTCAACGAATTTTTGTTTAAAAATGTAGAGAGTCTGAGAGATAATCCAATTATTTCATCCAAGTATTACGTTGTAACACTCACCACATTTTCATTTTTGTAGTTTAAAGCATCTTATCAACTCCCCGCCATATGATCACGGCCTTGGTGAAGATGTCAATGTTGGCGTATTATTTTGTAAAAAACTTGGTTTTCTGGTAATTTTCAACAGAAATATTTAATTTTAAGCGCGTCTCTCTGATTAGTTCATTTTCTCCATTTTCTCAGAAATGGTTTGTCAACAACGAAAGCTAGTTATTACTAAATTCGGGGCCTGCTTATTGATCGTCCAAACTCAATTTTGGGGACTTATTTTGAGTTTTTAGAATGGCGAGGGGAGATCCTAAGAAAAAACGAAACAAGAATTGTTTGAATATATACTGCGAAATTTTTGTGAATGACAAACTCATAATTATTCAAGAAATTGAGATAGCTCTAGGCGTCATATTCTTAAGGGACTTGGTTATTTTCAAGCGACCACTGTATCATAGTAGTACCACATATCAATTAAGATTCGTTAGCTACTAAATATCGACCAACTCAATGCATAAAATGCCGTGAATTGTACCATTAATGATTAAAAAATTTTTCCTTTGTTGAAATTTTGTTTGCTAGACAAGCGATCTCTTTATAAATCATTTAAATATTTCGATATTTCTTTTGACTATTAGTGTATTTATGTAAGCTTACCTTCTGTCTAACGTAATCTGGCGACATTGCGTAATCAGTTGGTCTTGCGCAATCCTTGAGCGTTGCATAATTAGTCAATGTTGCGTCATAGTGTATTTCTATTGGATAGCAGCTTTCAGTCGGATGCTCAGCCCCATTAGTTGTCGGACACAGCGTAATTCTTATGTCATGCGTTTCTTCACATTTTCTCGGAATCAGTAAAGGTTCAGTGCTGGTTTTCATTGCAAGGTGACATTTGTTGTGCTCAGTGTGGTTGCCTTTTTGAGTTTTCCCTTTTGAGTTTTCCTTGCGGTTGCAGCTGACGTGTTTTCGGTAGAAGTGGACAGGTTTCAGCATCGGGGCCCAAAATGGCTGTGAGAATTGATCGGAAATGGCGGAGTAGACCCCTAAAATGTGGGTAATTTGCTTCAATTTTACAATCAGAGTCTTGTTTTAAGCAGAGCGGCTGAAGCTCTGGCTACTCCTCGCCTTTTAATTGAAAGTTCCGTGTTACTTACTTGGCATAAATAGAAAATAACCAAAAAATCCATAAAAAAACTAAAATTCATGTAATTCTCAATCAAAGACAACATCGGTTCTCTGAAAAGAGCTGAAGAACTCTTAATTTTTTTAATTTGGGTGTGTTTAATTTTTTCATCTCTCATGGTGTATTCAGATGGCGCCTCCGAAGCCTCAGAAACAATTTACAATTCCGATTTTCGTTGGTGCTTAATTTGAATTTTTTTCGTCAGTTTATGAACTAAAAAACATTGTGTGTCACTCTTCTTCTTCGATAAGCATTTTCCGATAATTTTTAATTTCCGATTTTTTATCCTTTTATTTTTTTCCTGGAGTTTTTTTGTCGATTGTCTTACAATGATCAAATAAATTTACTGGGAAATATGCTTGATGGTATAAAAGTTAATTATTTATAAATAAACTTTTCTTTTAATCTTTTTTTCTCACAATCTTTGATTCTTACCGTATTCTGATTAAATAC